GATATAAGTTAGTACGTTGGGAAACTGTTTTAGCAGCAACTCAAAAAAGCCGTCATCTCAGTGTCCTCAAACTGCATGCACTTATATTTCCATAACGTGATTTTGTTACACTTTCCAGGAGTTATTGTACTAGACATCAATTTACTGTGTTTAGCGGTTTTACGTTTGTCATCATAATGAGAATGAAATGTCTAAATAAATATGATCTAGTTTAAGTCAAATGATGAACATGACGTTCCAGTAACTCATTAAGCCAGTCGCAGTTATCTGTTAAATACAAGAATGACTGTTTCATTAATAATTACTTATTCATCTGAACGGAACACTGACTATGAATTAAATGACTCTTACAACCGATTGTTGTTAAAATGAATATGATAGGAAGAAAGTGTATAGCCTGATTTTATTACATTTCGTTGCTGCTGCGGAATACCATCTTCATAACCTTTACTAAATTTTTTTTCTGTCTGTCCCGTTGACTGAAAGGCTAAAAGTTGTGGTAATATACGCAAACCTTAAACCTTAATCTGAAAGTATCTGAAAGTGCAAATTTTTTTGTCTAACTCATACATGTGGCTGGTCATTCAGTGAGGATTTAATCATTTTTGGGAAATCATGGGGTAGCGGCATGATAACAATTTGCAACAAACAAACAACAACTTACCTGACTGCCAGTTGGTCAGATTCCAGCACAAGCAAGGTAGATAAAACAATAATGCCTGCAGAGCTAAGATGAAAGGAACCCATTGGTAGTAGCCGATCTCGCGGCGGTCTCTTTCGCCGTAATCGAACGGAATTTGGTCGGTCAATGGCAGAAAGTATGTGTTCTGGACGAAACAATAATTTTCAGTGTACTGTTCCCACGCTCCTGTGAACTGCGCAGGAACCCAACACTGAATCGGTTGGCCGACGTACTGTTTCGCACTCAGCGTCAAGGCAAAGAACGCCAGAATAATTGGTGTGTAGTAGTAGTTCACGCGATCGATCAGGTCGTCATCATTCCTCGGCTTAAGCGCCCTTATAAATGCGTCGATGAATATCATACTGCCAACTGGACAGCGAATCTACAAATTACCTAAAAATTGTTGTAATCAAAACCTTCAAGTGTGAGGCGGCTAGAAGCAGTTTGAGAAGACATCGCATATGCTAAGCACGGCTTTTACTTCGAGGACTAGTAGCTGGCATAATGGGGATATCACTTGTTGAGGAGTCTGAGGGACCTTCTCCTGCAATGAACGGAAACAGAATACCTTAGTCATTGTTTACCGTTTCTAACTTCTGGGTCGTTGAATAAGAAATGACGTTTGGTAGAAGACGAAGGCAAGAAACATCTAAAAAGCGAAGTTTGCATGGAAGGCATTTTTCATAAAGACAATTTTCAGTCAAGATCTAAAACTGCCTAGTCAAGCCAGAGTCAAATAACTGTTTCAAAGTTTAATAATACAGAATCCACCATTACTTTCAGCATGAAAATTTACGTAAAGAAATAAAACTGCTTAGTCGAAACATTGTACTTTGTAATATCTGTAAAGTAAAACGTGTTTGTAAACCATGACGAATTTTACTTTGTTGTCCAATGAATATGTAATATATTTGATAGAAAGTATGCGGCAACAGCTAAGCGAAAGGCATTTGCTAGAGATGCAAATCAGGTCGCACGTGCCGTGACAAGCACGGTAGTATTGTCTGTCGCAGCACAAGCAAATACGTCTAATGAGAATGTTTCTGAAGATGAATTAGTCTTCCATGATTCACGGGTAGCATTTTCCAGCAGTAGGAAAGAACGAAGGCACTTTGGTACGTGACACACCAGGAAACGCATTTCATTATGCTCTGTCTGCAATTCCTATGCCACTTTCATTTTTTCTGGAACCGTAGCCGTTGGATGATACATCTAGCTACTTAGACAAGGCTAAATACCCAGTTTAATATCTAAGACAGCAGTGCCTTCCCTTCTGGCAATTTACAGCTCATTCTGTTGTGTTTCTCACATAGACCGTAGATGGAAGAATCGCAATTTCAAATTTAGTAACTGTCGAAGCATCATTATTCAAGTAGTATTTGTGTCATGTTGACCAGGATAAAGGACAGCTCGAGAATCAGTCTGAAATACGGAGGCTGAAAATCAAATGCATACGTAAAAGCGTCACAAAAGATGAGAAAGCCCCCTTAAGAGCGCAGAAAAGAAAAACGAAATTACACCACTGAGGAATCCGAGTTCACAATTCCTGTGGCCTCAACCAGACCAGGAGTGGAAATCTTGTTGATCTCAAAACAAGAAAGCTTCATTAGCTGCACATACCAACAGTTTAATCCTCTCAAATATATCTGAACAACCTCCACAACATCAGGTCACCACCAGCATTAATCAGGTAATTTGGACCTTCGCTGAAGCTAACTGCTGTCTGTATGAATTGGAAAAAGTAATATTGTGCGCTAACAAAATACACAGAAATGCTAGATCAGCTAAATAAATGGAAATGTTGTTTTCAATAAATAACAAAGCATCAAAAACGTATCACAAACTACGTTGGTGCTGCGTTAATCAATGTCGACTTGACGCAATGAGAAATTAAAAGTTCTCATGACTTGACTATTTATTGTAAGTTAAGTTCATCTTGACGATTATAGCTTTTACGGATTTCAGTGCCAGTTTAGAAGACAACATATAAGATGAAAAAAGAAGTTGAATGTGAACTGCTTGCTGACAGAGCAAATCCTTCTAAATCAAAATTTTCATCTCTAGACAGACATCATGAAAATGAAGTTGTCCACCCCCTCCCTCCCATGCATGCCATCCAACTAAAAAGTGCTGAAACAATGACAACACACATGTGGTCCATCTGTTAAATTCGTATATGATACGCGACTGATGCAATCACAGCGGCAAAACAGCAATGCCCAACCTGACGGCATCGTTAAAGCCACCCAAACGCAACGGTTAGTTTCAGGCCAAGCGAAACCTAAAGAACCTTACCAAAAATTTTAGCAAATACTTTTAGGGCCACTCGATTCCTTTCATGGCCAATCAAGGCAAAGTCCTGGTCTAAAACTTCGCATCAACCAGCTCAAAGTCGAACGTATTTCATGCGCCAAGTGCCTTTCACGAACTCCCAAAGAGCACCGTGTCGACAAAGACCGTTGTCTGTCTTAACACGAAACGCAAATTGACGTTGAAGGCAATTCATCCTACTACAGAATCGCTGGATACAAGCACGTCTCAACCGTATAACGCCCAAAACAACGAATTGCCACTTTCGTCTGGCAACGTCTGACGGCCTTCTGCGTGGCATTAACATGGCTGCCGTGAAGGACGGAATATAATTACCACAAACATTTACCATCCGCCAAGTTAGAATCGGTCCAAATAACGATGCCCAAGATGAACGTTCCTGCAATCTGTGCTGGGGATTTCAACAGCTGTCATACTCCGAACTGGTTGTAAAACAACAAATATTGCAAGGGAGACAATCTAGGCTCTATTAACTAACTAACTAACTCAATACTCACTGACAACGGAACACCGCTGGAAAACAGCGGACTAGTTGCGCAGAACTCACGGGATTTTGACGAATTCAATACGGGTTGTCGTTATACTCACTAGGATTACTGTATCCGTATTATCAATTTGGAAGAAGAATTTAAAACGACGTTAGAATTTTTGAATGGCTGGTGGTCCGCTTTCACGTCCGGAGTGAAAGCTAAGTAATAATCGTTGTTTCATAACGCCAGAACTTTGACAGTTTCTGTCAAATCAGCAAATCAGCTGATGCGAATCACATTCACAGAACGCAAGGGATGCACACCTCGGTGACTGCTTGATACACATATCCTTGTGGGAGAACACGAAAAACCGACGATCTCGGATTGGCCTAGGTAAACTACTGAATTCACTGAACACTCAATAAGTGCACATCACAAATCTTATGCAGCCTGAGGTTTTTCAAAGGGAAAAAAAGCGACGATGACAAAACAACAACACCGGATGCCGTAAAGTATAAACGGCAGCGCTTAACAGCTGCAAGCCTGAACTTTACGGATTCGAACAGAAATTCCTTATAGTTATTGCCCACCTTGGGAACGGCAGTCCGCAAAGAACTCTGCACAACAATCAAGTGCTCCTGCTAGCAATCTGAGGGCCTTTAACTCCGTACACTCGGTCTGAGATCGATCAAGTCGTCGCCGCCGCGGTCGCTGAAACCAATATTTTCCCTCAGTATTTTGAAAACTTGGGATAAAATATTTTAGAATGATTCAGTGCCATGTACACGAAAATGATCAAACGAAGAAAATCTAAACCACGTAGAAAGTTATTGCTGTCCTGAAGCCCGGGAGGTCGTTGGATAAAGATTCAAGTTGCAGACCATCTCGATGACCTGTACATCCTACAGATAACTACAACTAATGTCACTGGCACTTCTCATCTAAATGAAAATCTGGAAGATGCTATGCTACTTCGTTAATCGCTCTTACGTCATGCATCAGATCCACCCTTGAAATAATAGGGAAGAATGAGGGTTTCCTTTGACATCGTGCTACACGATATTGAGAAACAAGCGGCTGCAAACATCAACCAATATATTGCAGTGCTATAGTATTGTTTGCCTCTTCCCTTCAGCGCTAAACAACCGAAACTTCCAAGTACATCGCATAAAGGTCAGCTAAGGAACTTGGCGTTGGATTGCCTTGCCACAAAACTCAGTGTTGGCATCTCTGATGATCAATATCTATACCAGCGTTATGTACTTATGTTACTTACGTCATCCAGGAAATTTACTTGCATGAAGCATGCGCGGCAACAGATTCGACGGCATTGGCCGTCCTCCAATTGCTAACCGTCAAACAGTCGAAAACTGCTACTATCTGGGAACCTCTGTTCCAATCCGTCGATAAACGCCGTCACCTCCTTTCACTTCAGCAACTCTAACAAAGGCGATATTAAGTGATCAAGTGAGAAACGAGCCCCATCGAAGATCCCATGGTGTGACGCTAGACCGAAATCTCGCGTGTGGTAAATATCTGCGAAAGACCTGTGAGAAAAACAAGGTGCGCAAAAAAAATTTGTACCCAAACTGGCCGGAACGTCTCTACATTGTGGGCAGCAGTCCTGGTCATTGTTAACTTTACAGATGAATGCTAAGCACCTGCTTTGCTTCAAAGATATTTTGTCCCTAACGATGCCGTGACAGAGATCACACATGCGCTACCTCGCACTATGTTTTGGCTAATTCCCCGAACGTTTCTCCCTTGAAATTTGAAAGCGGTGCCTAAAAGCGTGTCGATGTCGCATAACGCATAACATGAAAGACCTCCGAATTCCTGGACTTGGTACTATCTTCCTCACTTAATTTTAAATGACGGAAACTTTCTGGAAAGCAGCCAGCGAATTAATGGCGTCAATCTTCACCGTTAATGAGAAGTAGAGAAAAACTTGACAAAATTCATCCTTGCCAAACAACATTTCGACCGATGATCTGACCCAGCTACCGTAATGATTCCACCTAGCCCAAAAAAATTTGTAACCATGATAAGCAACGTACGCCATGACCAAATAAACGGCCAGGTAGTAGTACAAGTATACCTCTGCTGCGACTGCGACCCTCCGAACCAGACAACCTATCGTACTGTCGACCAAGGTAAAGTGCGGAAGTCTTAAAAGAGAATCGTAGATCAGCATAAGCTTGAGACTAACTCAGCAACCTCAATGTCAAATTTAAACTTGAACAAACAAATGTTGTGTTCCTAAGCAAGAAGAAGAATATAGATAAAAACAGTATATATGGACCAAAGACAGAGACGGCTACCCAAATAGAAGCAGAAAACATGTAAATGGATGTGATGAAATTATGACATTTAATTCAGGTAGTACCCTCATCTCAATAGTTCATAACATAGTTGGTTACAACGCGGGATGTAACTAAATGTCAGAAATGACAGTTCTGACATTAGCCAACTTCCGGGTATACCGGGGTTGAAGGGGATTGCTTGCCTATTTATAGCGAGAAGACCAAGCTTCAGCTACTGTTTAGCTACGATGATGTACTAAACGTGGAGTAAAGACCTAAGTAATGATCTTTCGGTCATGAAAAAGCTTAAAGACGATAAAAGCTTCTAAGATCAAAGGGAAAATTTATTGCTAAACGGGCATCAGAAGTTGTATGATTCCCTGCGATAAATAAAAGCACGATAACGCAGTAAAAATGAATATACCAACTAAGCTAAGTCCTTGCCACAGTACAGAACCGTTGACAGTATAAGCAGCTTATAAAAACGATGCTACTGCGTTTCGGTATGCAATGATTTTAGTTTTTACAAAATGAATGGCTCTCCGTTGGTCGGAAAAAAATCTTACGCGGAGGCAAGCGATCAGTCCAGCGAATGCGCTGAATCACTCATGTATTGCAGCGTCTGAAACCGATCCAGTCGTTGATGGCAAATGCTTAATGCATTCGATCACAGTCGTTTTTCTACCGAAATGGTTTCGTTCCGACGAAATTCATAACACACGGTTGTACTGTAGCGCGTCTTTCTCCCCGCATGAGCAGAGCACAGTAAGCATTCTCGCACTGCAATGGTCAATCCTTTCGACGATCCAACGACACTCAGACAGTTTTTCTAAAGTGAGGAAGTGGTCGTCGAAACCTTTTCGCTAAATATGGAAGAAAATTTAGTTCATCCCACAATATAAAGGAAAGCTAAAAGAAATTAATGTAGAAGAAAGGTTTTAACAAGCTCTTGAATTCATAAGGCTATGGGAAGCCTTCGACTAACAGCATTATTCTGCAGTCGGGAAAAAATCACTATGATATTGAAGGAAAAATATGGGATGTTCCAGAAGCCAGAAGGCAGAGGTTTCAAACAACTCCTAATGACATCCTAATCATTAGTTTTTCGCTAAACCGTTTCAAACATTGCAAGAACATTACGAAAAGTGGTGACGAACAAGTCGAAGAATACTGACGAAGAAGAAACATGTGTCGTTCCATGCTGCACCAGAGCCAGGGTCAACTTTCTAATTTAGATGAAGGCAAACTTTCTTCTAACGAAAATATGTCGCTGCCAAAAAAACAAACGGCCACAGCTGTCTAAGCTATGGTCTCGAAGGAGCCATAAAACGCTTTTCAAGTTGGGTGTTGGA